CACGCACTCAGTCCCAGAAGAGGCTATGCGGACCAGCTCCAGGGTACACAACGTCACATGCTGACCGGGCCACTGGGGACGTCCCGACTCAGACACACAGTCACAGTGGCACGGATGCACTGGACAAGTGAACTCACACGCTCACACTTACCCCCAGACACAAATACATACACTGACCCGCTGGCCGGGTCACCCAGACATAGGGACAATGTCCACTCTTGGGTACACACAGTCACGAGAACTGTGTTCACATGCAGTCTCACTGAGCCGACACCCACAACACACAGGCGCACGCGCACACACACACACACACACACAGGCGCCCCCACACACACACACACACACACTCGCACACGGAGAAAGCAGCGTGCTGGACAGGAAACACTCCCCGCAGGGTGCTGGTGGACGGACACACTTACCACATCGCTGAGACAGACAGACACCTGTTGCAGGGACACCAGGACACAGCCTGGGCTAGACTAGACAGACACACCCACATATTCTCACAGCTGACTCAGCACTGAAACCGCCCCCTGACAGACAAAAGATCAAGCCTAACTTAGGGACTGACCTCGACCTACAGTCACAAAGTGACAGCTGTGACGGGTCCTGCTAGCTGACCTACCCACTGACGGGACCCACTCGGCAGCAGGCGCTCCTGGCCACGTTCAGCACGAATCTGACGGGGACCCACAAGGAGAAGGAACCCCAGGTGCCTGGCACAGACATGCCCGGGCAGACCCTGCAGGAACCTCCCCCAATCTCTTTCGGTTCTCTTTGCCTTCTCAGTTTCTCATTCACTCTGGTGTGACGTGGTGGTGGGGTGACCCGGGGGGCTTTCCCCTCCCCCCTCCCCCTCCCCTTGTCTCTCTGTCACTCTTACCTCTTCCATGGCTTTGATGGAGAAAGGACACCTGGCCTGACCCAGGTGGGCTTGTTCAGGATCTCAAACTAGGCCCCTACCCCCATTCAGGCAGGGGGAGAGTCTTATTTTATTTTATTTTCCCCCAGAGAAGCCGGGAATTCTGAACTAAAGTGAAAGCGCCTGATGTTTACACATGGGTCACTAAAGCAGCTGACTGCATTTGGGTCTGCACTTGACTACCAACAGGAAGATCCGGCCATGCAACTCACCCGAAGGCCTGGGGAGCAGTTTCAGTCCACAACACATGGGGGCACCAGGAGTTGGAACCGATTGACCAGCAACCAACCCACAGCACAGCCCCCTTTTCATCTGCCCTTCATTCTCCTCCGTCCCTCCCTCCTTCCTTCCTTCCTAGCTCTTTCCCTCCCTCTCGCATTGTTTTTCACACCCTGAGTCCAGAACAAACCAAAGATTGTGACTTGACCTTTTTTTTTTTTTTTGGTGGGGCAGGGGAGCCACTCATTGTTTTTGTTTTTAATGCGTGTGTAAATTCTCACACACAATAATCTGTACACTTCGGTGAGTTTTGACAAGCATACACAATGGCACCCCACCCCACCTGAAATGCAAAGCATTTACACCCCCCCCATAAAAACACTGTCCTTGGGGTTCTTGATTTTCCCGAGCTTCCATTTTAGTGAATATTGACCAGGGTGTTTTTTTTTTTTAATGTTTAAAATATCAAACAGAATATACTTTTAAGAATCATCAAGTCAAGGGTTGTTTAGTGAACATATTAAATAGTATGTATATATAGTGCGGACAGAACAAGTCCTCAAGAAAGCATTATTAACAAACCCA